TTAGGATATTCCTATTCCCTTTTTCATTTCTTGCTTTCTGAATATTTCAATTGATGGGTGTTTCTGACCATATTTCTTTCTCAAGGGCACCCAGTATATTCTTGTGTAATTGTATTTATCCTAGTGTGGTTTAAGGAGCATAAGGGGGGGGGGGGGGGAGGGTTTCACATAGATTATACATACGGTAAAGCCCCGTCTTAATAGAACTTTTTTGATCTCACCCGAGCGACATGTGGATGAGAAACTGGGGGGGGGGGGGTCTGATCGTAAAACACGGGGTGAGCTTTTAGTTGGACACAGTCTTAATCAGCCATCTGCAAAAACCTCATCCGGGTAGGTTACCATAACAACCGCACCTGTCTCATGGCGATCAGCTGGCGCGCGCTGTGTACATGTAAACATTTTTTCACGGCGATGACGCCATTTACCCGGGTAAATATCACCCTGGCCCGACTAGGGTGAGATCTACCTCGATATTGTCCGGACTCCGGACGTTACCCCGATTGACGCGTCTTAATTGGAAGGGGCTAAATATCATCCGGACAACGTCCGGACGACACCGCGACTTTATTTTCCAGTTAAGACGGGGTTTAAGATTCACATCCTTTTATTTTTCTCAGTGACTAATTTTGATAAAGTTTGTATTTAACCTCCATTCTGGCTGGTCAACTTTTTTAGATGCCTTTTGACTTCCTTTTCCGGTAGAAAGGAAATGGATGGGAAGTTGCAAAACCATTGGAAACTAGCAGAGAGAAAGAGAGAGAAAGAGAGAGAGAGAGAGAGAGAAAGAAAGAAAGAGAGATAAAGAGAGAGAGAGAGAGAGAGAGAGAGAGGAGAGAGAGAGAGAAAGAGAGAGATAAAGAGAGAGAAAGAGAGAGAAAGAGAGAAAGAGAAAGAAAGAGAGAGAGAGAGAGATAGAAAGAGGGAGATAGAGAGAGAAAGAGAGAGAGAAAGAAAGAGAGAGAGAGACAGACAGAAAGAGACAGAAAGAGAGAGAGAGAGAGAGGGATGAAAATTACCATTTCATTTTTATAAAAACTTTAGATTCATACCTGCACTTGGAGGTGTCAATTGTCAATTTAGCCAAAGACATACCAGTGTTATATTGGGTCATATCCGTTTATGAGTTAAGTACACTGTTCAAGGGCTATTCTTTAAAAGCCTGTGTACATGTTTGAACAGGAAACAAAGTTTCGTTGGTTTTGCACGTTTTTCCCCTCTACCAGATACAACAGATGTACTTACTTTTGAATCTAGCACTGAAACCAATCTGTTTGCTCAATGAGTCTCCCGTTTTAGTGTGCTATCATGCTTTCGGAAACGTCTCCTTGGAATAATATTGGAATATCATCAATCGTCGTTTGGTTATGAATACATATCTGTAGTTGTATACAGCATGACTTTATATACGGAATGTCAATAACAAGGCTTTACGAGAACGTGAGAATTGCTTCAAATTAGGCTCCTTTTCTTGAGCTTTTGTCCATTATCTTGCAAGATTGCCTTCCTGTTCTGCGTCTTGGTGAGATATCTCTGTGATCTTGGGCTGAGCGAGGACAAGCGAAACAACCAGTGATTCATGTGTTTATTCTGCTGTAAATCAAAACATGCTGGTTAACTTGTTAACGAAAGCACATCAATGGACAAACTTGGCTTGTTTCTGATGCCATAACATTCTGTGGTTGTTGCACGTAGAACAGTTGTGAATTTTGTGGTCGGTGAGAACATTTTGGGGGATACACATTTTGAGCGTCACATGGAAAAAGCCGACAGAGCCAGGAACTAGATTTCCTTATGACCTTCTTTCAACAAACATAAGTCATGTTTTACCAAGGATAACAGTTTTGAGAAGTACGGTGAACAGTATTCGGAACTTTGCCTTCTGAATAGCAAACACTCTTCAGAAGAGAAAGGAATAAGAAGTTGTTGGAACAGAATCGCTGCAAAGGATGCTCTTTTCATTGGTTCTGGCCAATGAATGTTTGAGTTGATGTTCTGGGTGAACAAAGAAATATCAACAGATTGAAACAGAACTGTCTGTTGGAAAGCCCTGCCACTTTTGGTACTCTCTGAGCCATAAATGTTTGATAATGATGACCTTGTATTTGTGACCTCCAAAAGTTTAAAGCGGGAGTTGCTAGTGACCGAAGACGTCATATTAACAGATCTGAAAAGAACAACTTGTAGGACACTCTGAAGCAGAACTGCCCCCTGTGGAACTTAACTTAACAATATTGTCAAATGTATGGTAATGACAACAATACATTTGTGATCTGTGAATGTTCTGAGTGGAAGTTCTGAGATTCTAAACACATTTCAAAGAAGAAGAATCTACAGTGAAACCCTGCAGCAGAACTGCCACTCATGGTACTCACTGGACATGAAATGTTTGGCAACGATGTTCCTCCGATCCTGACATACCACGACTTCAAAGTGGCAGAAGATACTCGTGCAATGAGGACTGTGATAGAGGAAGAGGAGGAGGAAGAGGAAGACGAGGAGGTGGAGCTAGAGGAGAGTGAGCGTGAGATGTCCCTTGAAAGCTTTATCGAGGGAGATGACGATGAAGATGATGCCTTGCACTTAGGTCTTATTCTTGTAGGTGTACAATTCTTTGTCAAGTTACTCTTGTGATAATCTGAGTGTGTGTGTAATTGGGTTTTTACAGATGTGTATCAGTCAGATATGATTATTTACGTCTAGGGATCGACCTTTAAAGGTCACCATCCGAAAGACGTGACTCAGTTTCGAACCTACGTCCTCGGCTGAATCAGTTTGTAACTTCCACTGTTAGCTGGATTACAGGCGCACGCCACAATGCCTAGGTCTGACAATTGCTCCAGACTTTTTATCATGGAAAGTCTGGGGTTTGGCCTAGGGTTAGGGTTAGAGTTTGGGGTTTAAGTCTGGTCTGGGTCAGGTTTAGAGACTACGGTTAGGGTTAGAGTTTGGGGTTTAGGTCAGGTCTGGGTAAGGTTTAGGGACTAGGTTAGGGTTAGAGTTTGGGGTTTAGGTCAGGTCTGGGTCAGGTTTAGGGACTAGGGTTAGAGTTTGGGGTTTAGGGAGTAGGGTTAGGGTTAGAGTTTGGGGTTTAGGTCAGGTCTGGGTCAGGTTTAGAGACTACGGTTAGGGTTAGAGTTTGGGGTTTAAGTCCGGTCTGGGTCAGGTTTAGAGACTACGGTTAGGGTTAGAGTTTGGGGGTTAGGTCCGGTCTGGGTCAGGTTTAGGAACTAGGGTTAGGGTTAGAGTTTGGGGTTTAGGGTGAGGGTTACATGTAGGTATGGTGTGGGGTCCAGGGTTGAAGTTCATACAAAGTTGGATAGTGTATAGTAATCACTGCAAAAAATTGCCTAAGGATCATGTGTCATAAAACCATTCTTGTAAATGTATTTAGATTTACCATATAGTTTGTCCAGTTATTCTTGTAGATATCCCCAACAGGGTTCACATTGCTCTTGAGATGTACAATATCATGTGCCAGCAAGCTGTTGTGTTCTTGAAGATGTACCAAATAGGTGTTGAGTTATTCTTGTAATCATATTTCTAATCAATTGGTAGTCAAGTCAATCTTATGGATGACGTCCCAAACAGGGTGTCTAATTGTCAATTTTGCATCAAAAATTGCCAGATTCACTTTGTCTTCAGTAAAGAAGTGAAAGACAAAAATTTGTTCATGCCATGGTGATGATGATATTTTACCCAGTTGCTATGAAATATCTGATTTCCATAGGCTTAACACATTAATTGACCTCCTGGTTCATATAGGCTATGGGGTTAATATGGTACTTATGGTGTCACATGGTCACTTGTGATATCAGAACCATGATATTTGACGCAGCCCTATTGTAATCATGAAAGTGATATCTAATGCTTGAAGTGCTTATACCTGTACAGCTTGCACTGTACTCTAATAGAAACCCAGCAATCACAAACTTGTTAAATATCCTTATTTCTAGCACATTCCTTTTCTGGGTATTCACAAGCGGTGCAGTCTTGTATATGTTTGTAGGACTGACGTGCAGGAAAGGAATTGTGTTTTACTGTATCTAAGTACTTGTAGTGAAGATGTACTCAAGGTTTCAACACTTCAAACAAGTTTCCCATTATCTTTGTATCAGTGACAAATTATTATCACCATGGTATTGTGTGATGTAAAGGAAATAATAAAAGCAATCTACTAAATCCCTGTCGAACACAATACTAGTTTTCTATTGAACTCTTAGAAACATGTCTCAGAAAAGTTTGGAAACTTTTTTTCTTTTTCCTATTTCCCCCTTTTTTTCCTTCTCCTTTGTTTGTGTTGCTCATTGGTATTTTGTTGTTGCTGAGACTTGATCAGATTGCGCTTCTGCAAGCCTGCAGGGCAGGGCATTGACTATACTTGGCCTGCAAGCTTGCGATAAGATTGCGAGCAAGTTTTGCAAGCTTATTAAGTTTGCCGCAAGATTGCAGTACGGCAGTGCAAGCTTTAATATATTTCTGTAAGGGAGTCCCATTGATCACAGTAACTACATGTAGATAATGTGCCAGTAAAAAAAAAAAAAAACCCAAATTATATTACAGTACCTGACGATCGTAGCATTCTCAAATCTCAAGGCATACATTTATCAATACTAGCAAATAAGCCTGTGTAGGTTTGCATGTGTAGTTGCTAGTGTTGTTGCATGGTAGTTGCATGTTTAGTTGCATGGTACATGTAGTTGCATGGTGGTAAAACATTTGTATCATATCTGCACCTTTCCTAACCTTCTCATTTCTAATGTGGTGTATTTTTGTCTTTTGTCTCTTCACGCTCTATCAATCCATCCTGTCCTCTTCACGTCTCATCTTTTCACTGGTGTCCTGGTGTTCTATCATTCTATCTTCACTTCCACTGTACAAAATCTTTTGGGGTAAAAAAAAATAATCACAAATTCATTGCCCAAACTCCATAAAAATGAAATCACTTCATTTTCGAAATCGCTGGCGAAAAAATGCAATGATGCTGCTTCACGCAACAGTCATCAGCAAAATTAGTGATAGAACAAAGACTTCACTCGAATTCAATTTCTCAGCCTGTACTCAGACGACAGAAACCCCCTAAATTGGAAGTGGAAGAGTCCAGGGATGTTAGTTGGAATGGATGCACACAGGAGGTGGTGAGACGTCCCACTAAGACAGCGGGGGTGCCAGCTCAGGATGTCAAGAAGGAGGGAGGATTCAGACAGAGGAGCAAGTTGCTGACAGTGAGTTCTGGTTTAAACTTTTTCTTTCATCTGCTTTCTCCAATTTCTGGCAATGTTTTTTTTTTAAATAAAGCACAAGATTCATGAATTCCACCTTTCGTTTATTACACATAGCACTGGTGTAAAGTAGACCAGGCCCTGTATTACAAAGAGTTGATATCAATCGCAAGTAAGAGATAGGAGACTGCAAACTTGCGACTGCTGGAGGACCTGCGATTGAGTTGGATCAATCGCAACTCTTTGTAAGACAGGGCCCAGATATAAAATGAGATTTTTTTTTTTTTAATACTAAATTCTGTTGTACACTCGGTAGCAGTGGTACACTTGTATACAAAGTAGCAGTTCTTTACCTTTTCTTGTATACTTTTTCTTATTATACCCTATCATATATTCTGCTTTCGGATTCACATTTGTGTCTTTCTTACATGATATTATACTTTCAAAGTTACATTAAGGCTGCTATGAAAAAAAAAATTAAACATTCAAGCAGAAATCCTTTATCTTTTTTGAATTGCAGCATGGCACTTTTTATTGCAATTTCTTTGTGAAATTCTGCTCAAGGGAAAATTTAATTTTTTTTTATCTTGAACATAGGTTTCAATGAATAAAGAAAAACACTGCTCAATAGAATTGCAATTACGTAATTACCACATTGGTCTTTATAGACGGGTGTTCTCTGATCAGATTTGAATTAATATGAAAATTGATATCTTATGGTAGGTAGATGTTGACTTAAAACTTGTTTAATACGGTCAAACCTGTCACAGTGGTCACCTTTCTATAAAGACCACCTGTCTTTAATGGTCAATAATTTTGTTCCCATGCAAGAACAAATGGTCTGTTCAGAGTCAGAAGGGTGCTACTCTGTTATACAGTCAAACCTGCTTTAGTGACCACCTGTCCATAAAGACCACATTTTTGGTTTCCCTTGAAAATGGTTCCTCATTGAAACATGTATTAAAGGAACCTGTCTACAAAGACCACTTTTTTGTGTTTCCCTTGGGTGGTTGCTATAGACAGGTTTGGCTGTATATGAGTTTAAATGCCTTTGCTGGCTCCAAGAGATGAAATGTGATGTGGAACCTGTCTAGAAAGGCCACCTGTCAACAGTGACCACTGGTAGAGTTTTATATGTCTTTATAGATGGATTCACTTAAACACTCTTTCTTAACATACAACCTGTGTGGATTTTATAAGAACTGTGTATTCAATGCATCTCTTCTGAAAAAGTAAAAAGAGCACACGTTTTACTTATTGCGCATTCAGTGCATTTTCTTCTTAGTCAACATTGCTCAATTTGGAATTGAGGCAGGTGTCCCAACAACAGTCACCACCAGCATTATCATTTCATGTATTAAACATGGTACCATGGCAACACAAACATATTGAAAGCTCTGTTGTGATATTTTTGCCTTAGCTACAGACAAGGATAAAGCTAACATTAGTTAGAGATGAAACAGGAATGTAACTATAATTTTGTTATGAGGAACTGGATTGATTGAAAAGTCATTTCAAGTTGCATATCATGCAGTAGAAAGGTCATTTGGACCAACAAATCAATTGAAACCTCTTTGAAATCACAACTTACCGGAAAGCTCAATGATATATGAGCATGCAATTCCTTGTCAATTCCTTGTCAATTCTTTGCATGGACAACTACCTAACTATTCCCTCTGTCATTGCTTATTTTCGTTTACTTGGCTGTATTACATATAAATCAATTGTAGTGTTTAGAATTCAGCGTAAAGTTTGGATAGATTGTGTGAAATTTTATTTTCATTCATAACCGGAACTAAAAATTAAATCCAAATAATCAACATTTACCCCTTTGACTACTGAATCTTCTCATCCCCATGGTCCTTATACACAGGGACCCCCCCCCCCCCCCCCCCCCCCCCCCCCCCCCCGGTTCCTGTACACAATGGGTTAAAGATAAACTTGAGTTCTGGTAATGCGATTGCTTTGTGAAAGAAAAGGTGTGGAATGGATCGGAAAAGTTGATCATATAGCATGTAAGTAATGATGTGTAATGCAAGGTTCTGTAGTCATCAAAATCATCATAAATTTGGCAGAGTCTTGGTAAAGTAACAATCACTTACACAGAAAGATGTATAGTTTTGTTAGATTCTGTGAAAATTCATTTTCTTTTTTTTACCAGAACTCAAGTTTATCTTTAATTTTTGGCAAACCCATGTTGAAAATCTTGTTCTAACATGGTGCTGAGAAGCAAGAATGTTTCTTTGCACAGTGACAATCACTATGAACATGACTGACAAAGAAAGCGGACAAAATATACAGTTCCTCAGGTAGACAAAGGAACATCCTTTCGCTGCTATTATGTAAAAATGTGTAGAACAGGTGTCACATGCATATTCACCTGTTTGACTCATAATAGCAGTGAAGGGATGTTCCTTTGTCTACCTGAGGAACTGTATACTTTGTCCGCTTTCTTTGTCCGTCATATTCATAGTGAATAGCATTACATTTCTAGAAAAGTACCTTTACTCATTATGAGTGATATATTAGGGGATTTCTCCCAATTGAAGTTTCTTAAGAAGGTGACATATTAAAGCTTCCATCTAAAATTATAAGATGGGTAGAAGAATCCCTGCAATCTGATTGGTCAATTACCATGTAATTATTTTTACTGAATGCACGCGATATCGGCGATCGATACCACCGATGTCTTTTTTTTTAGATATATCTCTTGTTTTTCCTTTTTAATGATTTTTTTTTGATAATTTTTTTTTCGGTGATAAATATTTGTTTTTCGTGTTTTTTTTATAATTATGATTTGTTTAAAAAAAAAAATTTAAAATCTATAATTTTTTAATTTTTTTTATTTAAGTTTACAGTTTAATGTGCACTGACAATTTTTTAATTTTTTTAAAAAAATTTCATGATAAGTTAAAAATCATGCGTCCGGTAAAAAAATCATGCGTCCGGTAAAAAAAATCATGCATCCGGTAAATCTGTAAAATAACAAAATTTTGTATTTTTGACAATTTTTGGGGCCCCATCTTATAAAACAGATGATGCACAGGTTTAATTCGTGGGTCGGTGGAATTGTGTGCACGCGGTACCTTTGAATTTGGTCTATAACCCACTCGGCTGCGCCTCGTGGGTTCAAACCATTCAAAGGTACCTTGTGCACACAATCCCTACCGACGCACTCAAACCTGTGCATCATTTGTATACTATTCAACCAAAGCCCTAATTCAACTAGTCCACCTTTTAATCTTTATTTCCAAAAAAAATGATATGAATAATTCAGTTGTTCACTGTATATTTCTTATTGACAATGAACAGCCTATCATCACTTGTTGTACATGCTTGATCACTCTTTCAAGAACTTAAAGTGTTTTTTTTCCTTGCATTTTAAACCCAAACTCATAAACAAGTCAAACCCCTTTTTAAACCATGAAAAAATGTTTAAAATCATGCCTGCATTAGATGCTGACGTACACAAAGCCCTCCCCAAGTAATACTTGTTCCTGTATAGCTGTGTGACGTTATTCCTATCAGTAAACTCTTCAGATTGTGAGCAAGAGCGTTCATATGACTGTGATTCATACCCGTGGTGGCAGGCAGTGACGTTACCCTTGTCTATCTTCTTTCATTTTCTCTAGGCCTGTCCTCATCAGCTTGAGTTTGCCAAATAACCTGCTATTTTCAGACTCAGGATATTATCCCAAAGTTCGAAATTGCGTCTACACCAGACCGATACGCTCATCACAAACTAGCTCAGACGGGCGCAAATTAGCCTGCTATTTCCCAAATAGCGGGATATTTTAGAAACAAGATTAATATTTCTCTGGATATTTTCTCGACCAAATATCCCGCTAATTGCAACTGTGGGCTGATGAAGCCGCAAATTAACTGGTTAATTTGCGATCTGGATAGTTAAAATAGCGGGTTATCTGGCAAACTCGAGCTGATGAAGACAGGCCTCGTGTGTACCATGTACCGACAATGACATCATCAACAATAGTGTGATGACCTTGACCAGTTTAGACCAGGAAAGTTCACTTCCATCAATGGCTGGCAGCTAGGCTCCGGCCACACTCCATTCAGGTCGGTCAAAATTATGATAAAATCATAAAGATATGATAAATTCCCATTGATAGCTGGTACGGCCAAAAGGAATAGAATTTTTAAATTCAGGTTATTTAACTAAACTTTTGCCCATTTATGTTGAAAATTGCTCAAAAAACTGTTCTAAACTCTGTAAATCTGACTTTGTGGCTCACACTTCTGTTCTATCAATACTCTTTTGTTTTTCTTTTAAAATTCATCTGTTCATACCAACCGTATAAAAATAAGTCATACTGTCATCTCATCAATTCTTTTCAAATTAGTCATTTTTTAGAAACTTTACATCAATTGAACCTGCTTCAGTGACCACCTGTCTACGAAGACCACATTTTTTGTTTCCCTTGACAATGGTTTCTCCTTAAAACATGTACTAAAGGAACCTGTAAGTAAAGACCACCTGTCTGTACGATTATTCTTAATACAACGTTTCTTTATATGTTTTCTGTATATATTTCCTCTAGTCTTAACGGGCTGTAAGTTTCCTGACTTTTTCTGGTTTTCATTAGCATGAAAGATCTACCACCATGATAGTCCCTTCCACCCACCTTTGAGTGTGTAATAAGCCATTACAATGCACATTATTGTAATGTTTTTTTCAGTGACACATCGTCATAAGGGTTTCATTAAATCTAAGATTTGCCAGGTCACGGTTCCTCTTTGGACCTATGGGACCTATTGTTCAATTTCTATCCACTCAGGCATGAAATTGTTGCTTTGTTCCTCCAATGCTGGAGCCTACCTGTACCTCGCTCTTTCCCTATGAGAAAACATGTTTCAGTGTTTTGAGTCGGGCTACAGGGGAATGTCAACCAGGAAACACTTTTCGCTATTAAACAATTAATGGTAAAATAACCAGTAAACGACCCATTGGCATCCAAGCGTGTGATGATGTTATTGATTTTAGG